CGCGTGATGCGGTTCCAGTCGAGACCCACAAATTGGCCCTTGCTCACCATAGAGTCTCCAGTAGCTCAAGTGGTTAGAGCATCCGACTAGATCACGGAGGGTCGTGGGTTCAAATCCCATCTGGGACTCGGATTTTTTTTCCGAGTCCTCCTCAAATTAATATCATGTCATTTAAATGTGAATGCCACATTATAATGCAAATCCCCGGGAGATTAGAATTGGGTACAACATTGAGTTAGAAGAATAGGTCTATTTGACGTGTTTCTGGTCTGGGAAAGGGTGATTAAAGGTTCCAAGGCCAAATTTTTTAATCCCGACACTAGGGAGCTTAACCAAAGACGTCGGCGACGGCAACGAGAACGGCAAAAAGGCAATTGGTTTAGATTAACATTTGGATTGAAGGAACGTAGTCTCTTGATGAAATTTTGACATCTGGTTAACGAAGTAAAGCAAGATGTGTCACTAATCACAAGGCATCGCAAGGAAGAATGAGAGTACTCTGATATTGCATTTTCAAAATCAAACTGCCTAGGAGGGATCGAGGTAGCTTATGCAACTCTCACAAGTTTGCCAGCATAGAGGAGGCAAAAAAGGCCCTGATATACATGAACAATCCCACGGACTCCTCACGTTTTGCAGGATTTCAACAGCGTTTCTAGTTCAACTAACTATTACTCGGTCCCTGTTTAAGCTACTAATTACTTTTGGAAAACTGGCCGTAGCAGCCTTAAAAACAGCCTACTGTCGGGTCAGAACTTTTACTTTGTTTTTCCTAAGGAATTGAGAGCTGTCGCCAAAGGCAGTGGAGTAAAGCATCATTAAGTGTCCCTAATTAGTGTACCACTTTTGCTGCTACAAATTTTCCGACTCGATTTTTATTGATTTAATCATAAGGTGTAATAAATAAATAAATAAATAAGTAATTCCTAGTACTTACGTCCACATAGTGGTTTTTCTTCTACAGCGCATCCATATCCTTTCGTTCGTTCATTCATTCGTTACTTCGATCGTCCTTTCGTTCCTTCGTTCGTTAGTTCGTTAACTCGTTTGTTCCTTCGTTCGTTCGCTACTTCTTTCACTCGTTCGTTTGTTCATTCATTTATTCGTTCATTCATCCATTCATTCACTCACTCACTCACTTATTCATGTTTTGTAAAATGAACAATTTTCTCGAAATATTTCAGTACAAATTAATTTTTCTTCTACTTACAATTAACAAAGGCTGGTCTAGTTGGACAGGGACTTAATGCGTAAATACATAACAAAATTTATATGTAATTGAATTTAAAAGAGTAATGAACGTGAGCCCAAATAATTTATATACAGGTAAATGTACGGATGAACAATACGAGAAAATAAATACAAATAAAAAGTCAAACGACTGGATACCTAAAATCAAGAAAGAATAAGAGGGCAGAGAGGGAATCTTAGGGCATTAGCCGGGATATGTGAATTTCATTAAAGTTATTTTTAGAGGCTTAAATTAAACGGAAGTCTAATTCCTGAGACGTCCGCACATTTTCAACGCGTCTGCCTCAAAGCAAACAATGCAGAATCTTGTGATGGCGACTGTCGAATGCTTTCTTGACAACAAGCGTTTACTTGCTCTGGAAATAACTTTGGTGAAATTCACACATCTCAAGGGCTAGACTGGGCGTTTTCCTCTCCGTCCATTTATACTCTCTAGCTGAAATACAAAATGCAAGTCAAAAAAAAAAGATGAAGAACGAGAGCAAACAAAATTAGCGAGTGAGTTGCGACGATCAATGTGTGGCAGCATTTTATCTAATACATCGCACTAGAATCTGGAAATGTTGGTTTTCAGCATTGGAACCTACTGTTTGCAGCTGAGTTTGTTGAACCGAGTCAGTGCCTCGATCTTTTTTAAACGGAGGCAAAGCGCAAAACCTCAACAAGTTTTTTTCTTCACCTCATAATTGAAGAGTCTTCTGCAGAATTTTCGCTGCGGTTAGTGGGTGCAGGCGCAAGAACCGAAACTATTACGAACTGAACTACATCTAGTATCTACATATCAAGAGCTATCCATGAATCTCGCCTTCGATTACTCACATCACTTCGTAATTTGCTTTGAACACTATCTCAACAACAGCTCGAATGACTGTTATTCCTTGATGAAGAGTTTCTACCCACTAAAGGGTCAGAAAGCATGGTAATAGTATAGGTCACAGCAAAAAATACCAAAATATTCTTAAATTGCCGTTTGGGTAGGATCAGTCGAGCATTTAGTACTACTTCTCGAGCATAATTTTAGTGACGCTCAAAAGTATAATGCTCAAATTTTCCGAGCATAATGTATCTACTAACCCTAGAGCAATTGTTGTTTTGATCTTCGGCAAAAGTTCATGGAGTATTTACATTGTGTAAAATTGACTTGACCAGCCGTCTGATACTGCCTTCTGCACAAGTCCAACTGTAATCATTTAAATGCTAGGAACTACTAGTTTTTTTCCCAAAAATAAGACAGGTTTTGTTATAATTT